AGCAGTGACTAAGAATACTTGTCTACATACCCTTTTCCTTTGTAGATGGAAAATCAATAATATAATCTCATGAGAACAGACTTGACCAGTCCCAGAGGCAAAGCTGGTCTTAAAAGTTTGAAAGCCAAGTACTCAGAATTATGAGTCATCCTAACTGCTGTTCTGAATTGCAACCAGAATGCTGCAAAGCAAATTAAAGTCAAGTGTCTTCAGCAAAATGTTTCCCATCAGAATGAAAGTTACTACATTCTCCATTTTATAAATTATCATTCAGAGCAGTTATATGAAGAGCACCAACACAATAGCTTCTAAGCTATGAAAATGTTTGTTCAAGTTGCTATTTTACTGGGCCAACTAGGCCTGAGTTGCAAATATCTGGGTCATCAATAGCTGGCAGCAAAGAAGTACAGAAAATCCTAGCTCTTCAATGCCCTCTTGTGATCAGATGAAGTTTTGCAACCCAGATCCCCCTAAATCCCCCTAAGTTTGATAGTGAGGCCAAAGCATTTTCACTAGAAGAATTGACAAATGGTACTCTTGGCTAACTTTGTAACTTATGAACTTTGTAACAAATGAAGATTCTGGAGCATGCCAAAACTGAATCAACATGCCTAGCATAAATGGAAGCAAAGACACTGAGAACAGTGAGCTCTCTAGCTCACAGAACACTGATATTAAGATTATTTCATTCATCAATGTTCAGCATCCTTGGCTGTGTGCAATTTCTCAGTGCCCATCAAAAGTATCAGAAAAAGAAATAAAGCTTCAGGCAAATGTGGAAAAACTACTTCATAAACAAACAATTGCCATATGAACTTGAAAGGACCAGAATATATTCTGGGGAAAGATAAAATGTGGGACTATAATTTTGAAAAATTAAGCAATATTACATTGTGCTTTGTGAGGAAGGATACATTAAGCAATCAATATATTCTGTACCAATTTTTGAATATTTTTGTGGCATATAGATAATCAATAAACAATTATATTTACTAGCTTAGGCAATAATTCTATTTTAAAAATTTGCCTAATTCAGTCTTTACATAGGGATTATGTGCTAATTTATCTAAACGCTGCTGTCTTTACAATTAATTTTATACTGGCTATTTCAAAGTAAACTTTTTGAATTGCTCTTTACCAGTAATCTCTCCTGCAGATATTGGATAACTTAAATGAACTAAACTCCTATCCCTAAACATTATTGCTTCTAAATAAAAAGAAGCTGCATGAGGCAGTCATCTTGCGTGGGACAACAGTGAACAAAGGGGAATTTTGACCCTTTCGCTTTGGGTTATATTTTCACTCAAAGATATCCTCCAAGGGATCTGGAAAAAAATAATAATTTGGTACAGAAAAATATTCCAAGCTTCTGCCACAACTTAGTTTATAAAGAGGCTGCCTATATGAGGCACCTTGTTTCTGGTCAGTAACAGGTCGTCCCCTTAATGCTGGTCCCCTGAAGACTTATGTTAATGCATGCACTTATTATAAGGATTATTTTTGTCACAATTGTTTGGCTAATACAAGTATTTGAGGCATTGGAAAGATATTGTGATGGTACTATACAGATGAGGTTGAGGAGCTGTAATCCTGGAACAGAAAACTGATACCGGATCAAGGCAGTGGAAGGCTTTGTGAACTTCCATTCTGGGGAGTGTGACTGATGGCAAATGAGTAGATGATCAATTTATGCTGAGGGATGCATATAAACATATGCACTTCATGATTTCCCCAGCCAGTTGCCTTAGAGATTATGCAGACAACAGGGAAGCAGGTGATGCTTGATAATTGGATTCAGATTTCTCCTCATCAAAAAATGTAATGTTATCTAGAAAGGAGCAATAATTCCCACTTTCTGAAACAAATTGTTGAAGGCCTTATTTCCCTTGACCCCTTCTCCACATGTTGCATTTAATGCCCCACTGCTCCTTCACTGATTACCTGCTCAACTCCCTACAGTTCCTTTTCATTTAAAAAAAAAGGGGGGGGTTAAAAAGTTAAGTTCCAGGACTGCAAGTAACAGATGTTTAGATGTAGCTCAAACCACTTGTCTGCCACCACCTCATGAGATCACAGCAAATTTAGAACTTATTCTACATTTATATGGAAGGACTCTGGCAATAGTTTTTCTAAGAGTTTTACACATATGTAAAAGATATGGTCAAACAGTAAAAACTAACTCAAGAATAAAGCTTGAGAAGCAGTGTAGCAAAGCCTGATGTTTTTGAGATAACATACTATGTGTTCCATAGGAGCAGTAATCTCTGATTTCTTAGACTACTATAATTTACTTGCTATGCTGGATAATGTAATACTCAAAATGCCACACATGGGATGTTATTTGAATTCAGACATTTCTCCTTTTGCCTATTAATATTTTGACTTTTGTAAAACTTAAAATCTGTAATCACAAATCTGGAAATGTTTTTCAATGCAGTTTATGGAACTTCTTTTTATACTATTGTTTCATGAACATTTAACTTATTTATTGTAAACAGATTCACAATTTCAAGTTGATAATTATTTTTCTTGTTGATGACACTGTCTTGGACATTCAGTCCATTTTGAGGAAGTACACGATTTATCTTTTCCAAACAGTCAGGTTTTCCCTCATTAATGTGCTACCAATATTGCTTTATGTGACTAATATTCATTTTGTTTGAAATGGCAGTCTTAAAAAATGCCTCTGAAACCGATTTCAGTGGGTGTATGATTACATTCCCTTCATCCTAGCTTCTTACAGAAGGTCCTTGAACAATAAGTATCCTATCTCTTCAGTAAAGTGTATGGTTTTTAAATGTCATGAATGATACCGAAATACAGAGCATGACAGGGACTTCCTGGACTACTTTGAAAGGCAGAGATCAGAAGGCTTTTGATGGTATTCCCTGATGAACAGCTAAAAAACAGAAGGATCTTTTTCCAAGACAAAGCTCTAAGAAGAACCTCCTGAATTTGAGCCCCAAGTATTTGGCAAGTTTCTCTGTGGGAGGGCTGGACTTATAAATATACCTATTAATTATTACTTCTTAAAAGACACAAAGCTGTACCACTCTGCATACCACAGGACAGACCATACTTGCCTTCCATTTAAGAGGAACTATTAACTTTGGGAAAAAATTGTAATTGTAGAGCCATCTCCCACTTCAGGCTTGTAATGATTGCCATGTGTATTTTGCCTTTCAATTGATGTGGAAAACAATGGTGAAGACTTAAGAAGGCTTTGAACTATCTATTTTCCCATGTCCTGGTCAAGGAAACCCTCATAGCAAAGAGAGGATTTCCTTCACTTGCATTCTCAGCAACCAGTTGGTGTTCTTTTAATTTGGCTTGTGTGATGGAATGGAATTATGAAGGCCAAGCTCAGGAAGATAAGCATTTTCTTAGCTCACCG